GGCACTGCCTCTGTGAAGCTTCTCCCCATCCTGGATCTCTGGGACTCCCCACTGAGACAGGGATTTCCTCTGGAGGGGGAGTAGGCTCCTCCCCAGTTCAGGGTTCCCCCATTCCCTGAGAGAACAGTGGGGTCACACCTGCCCAGCCTTCCCTGCTGCCAGCACACCTTCCAGAAGTTGCTGGATCCTATGACCCTGCCCCACCCTCTAATATGCTTTGAGCCCAGGCTGATGGCCACGGGGACAGCTCACCCCTATGCCCGGCTTGCTGGGGAGCGGGGCAGGGTGACAGAGGGTTCCTGCATGCCAATTGTGCCTGGGTCTTTCCTCAGAAAAATGGGTGAGTGGGTGGGGGGAAATCCCAGCTCCTCTACTTATCGGTTCTGTGGGCAAGTCCTTACCCCTCCTCCTCTAGAGCCGCCATGGCCTGAGGACTTACTGTGAAGCAAGCTGTGCTTTCATTGGATCCGCAGGAGCCCCTGTAACCCTTTCTAATCGTGCCCGTGGTGAGCAAACTGAGAGGCTAAGAGGCTTGCCTAAGGTCACACAGCTCAGTAGGCCAAATGTGCCTGCTTGTTTTTCGAACTCCTGTTTCATAAGATTGTCAAAAGATGTGACATGTCTACCGAGGGGCTGGCACGGGACCACATTCCAGGCAGGAGCTCCTCACCTCTCCCACCCCCCAACACTAGGATATGGGGAGGTGGGGGCTTGGGGCAGGGTAGAAGGGGAGGGATGAGGCTGGAGAGAGGGCAGAGAGCAGCAACAGCAGGCCACGGGCCTCCCTGGAGGAAGCAAGGTCTACAGCTGGGCCTGAAAGTGTAGTGGAGTATTAATAAAGGATGGGGGGGTGGGGCGTGGAGGAGCACCCCCGTGTGTTTTGGGGAAAGGCGCCACACTTCTGATTTCTGCCTGTAAGGCAGCCGCCAGCACCCTGTCTTCCTCCTCTCAGGTGAGAAGGTGCTCCTCGGAGGAGGGAAAAGATCTGTAAATAGCAGGTGTGGCCTCATTAGAGAGCAGCCCTGGTATTAATAGCCGTGTAGGCATCCAGCGGAGCTTCTCCAGCTGATCTTTCACCTCGCCTTCCCGGGAGCCCGGCGAGAGTCAGCGTCTGGGGTGGGGTAGAGAAGTGTGTGCTCCATGGGGCCACTGCAGACCTGGTGTGGGTGAGGGGCTGTGGAACCTCCCCTCCAGGAAGCCCACATCAGGACAGACGGTTCACACTGTCCCTTCCAGTCTAATACCATTTCTCCCCTCCAAGACCACAGCCTCACACACAGGCGGGGCTCCCAAGGCAGTCAGTCGCCTTGCACTGATGACGGCCCTTCATCCAACAAAGACTCCTTCGCCACCTGGATAACGGCTCTGCACAGGGCCTGTAGGCCAGAGCGGAAAAGCGCAAGGTCAGGGCCTTGGGGAGTGCACACTCAGCTGCCCCTCTCTGGAGTTTACAGTTTAAGGCAAATGCACACACTCATCTTGTTTGACACCAGCCTTGGTCTGTGAGGCGCGTCTCACCCCTTTCATTTGCAGACGAGGAAACTGAGGCTCAGGGAGTTACAAGCCAGCGCTCAAGTCCCCCACCCAATGTCCTGAATTTTGTAGTCCAAGGTGTTTGAGTGATCCCCAAAGAGGAAAGGACAAGATACCGATTACGGGGAGCTGTTGGCTTTGTGAAGTGTCCCTGGATGACATGATTTCGTTGGGGCCCGTCTGGCCTGTGCACCCTACTTGGGCTCAGAGACACTGGCAAGACCCCTGAGCACACCACCTGAGAGTCCTAGAGCTGGAGAGAACACTGCACTCCGCCCTGGCCCCCAGGGTTATGCTGGAGGAGGGGAGCAGAGAGCAGAGGCGGTGTTGGAGTGAGAGGCAGGAGGACAGCCTGGGGCGGCCCTGAGCTGCACTCTCCTGAAGCTCAGGTGTGACAGCAGGAAGCTCCCCGGCTAGGACCAGGAGCTCTGGGTTTCAGTCCCAGCCTACTGTGTGAACTTGGGAAAGCCTCACCCCACTGAGCATGCTCCCAGATCTCTCCAGGCCATTTCTAAGGACTCTCCAGCTCTAAACTAATTGACACCCTCTCCAAGCGACTCCCCACTTCCTCTTCCTATCTGCAGTGCCCAGTCCCTCTTTCTCAGCTCCAGCAGCTTCTTGACTCTCGGAACCTGTGACCTCAGACCTGGTCTGCCCTTTGACTCAGGCAGCCATGACCTTTGGGATCTGAGCCGCTGGCTTGTTGGGTTTTGCCCCATGAACTCGCTCTGGCCTTCAGCATGTTTGGCCGCTTTCCCCCTCTACCACTGCACAGTCCCTGGGCAGCCCAGGAATCGTGAGCATCTGCATTTCCTCAGAGAAGCTGTAGCAGGGGCTTCTCATCCAAAATTAAATGGCAGGCCTCCCTGGTGGCGCAAGGGGTTAAGCACCGCACTATGAAGCAATCCGCAGCCTCTGCAGCATGAGTTCGAGCCTGGCCAGCCAGGGGGCTGACCCACATGGTGCAGCAGACCTCTCCTGTCTCGCCTGCTGCTCCCCTCAGCAGTGTACTTCAGTCAGTCTGCCTGTTCTGGTCCCCACTCTGTCTCTGGTGGGTCCTCTCACCCCCCACATCTCTGGCCTGTACCCCAGCTCTTGTGTGCATAAATAAATAAATCTTTAAAAAAAAAAAAAAACAAAATTAAATGGCTCAGAGAGTCAGGGCAAATAGAGACCACCCTTCCATCCCCAGCCCCTTTCTGCAACACACCATTCGCCCTGGGAGTGCTCCGTGCCACCCCACCTCCCAGGCGACAGTGCTGGGCCTGTCTTATTGACGGAGATTTGCTCCAAAGGTTCCAAGTTACCCCAGAAGTCACCTAGCAAACCCTCAGCACCCTCATTCCTGACCCACTCCAGGGATGGGGGCTGCACCTCTTCCTCAGACAGGTGCACAAACAGGGCTGACTTTCCAGTGTCTGGAATTTGCCCTCGCCGGGTGCCCCGACGTGCAGGAGCACACAGCAAGTCTTCTCTGGCCCCTTCGCGCCGCTATTCCGGGCCGAGGAGGCCAGGGCGCCGCCGGGTGTTCCCACAAGCTCTCCACCCCACGCGGGAGGCGCGCTCCAGGCAGGGCCAGGAGCCCGCAGGCCGGCGAGGCCCGAGGCGGCCCGCGCGCCCCGACAGCGCCGAGGGGGGCGGGCGGCGGGCACGGCCCGGGGGCGGAGGGCGCGGCGGGCGGGCGCCCCGGCCGGCCCGGGGGAGCCGGGTCCCCGAGGCGCCCGGGCTCTGCCCCCAGCGCGGCCGCCCCGCCCCCCGCCCGCCCGGCCCGCCCGCCCGGGACCGCAGACGGCGGCCGGCGGCGGCGCGAGCGGCGGCGCGGCTGGGCGGGGGCTCGGCCTCGGCCTCTGCGCGGGCGGCGGGGGGATGCGGCGGCGGCGCGGGGCGCGGCGGGGGGCCTGGCCCCGCAGGTAGGCGGCGGGCGGCGCGCGGGGGCGCGAACTTGGGCGAGTTCGCGGGCGGGCGGGGGGGCCCGGCCGAGCTCGCGCCCCGACTTCCCCGGACTTCGGGGCTCCGGGGCCGGCGGGCGGGGCGCCCCGGGCCGGGCCCTCGGGCCTCACGTGGGCGCCCGGCGGGGCGGGGGCGGGGGCCGGGGCGCCTGCGGCTTCCCCGCCGCGGCTTGACTCACCCCTGGCCGCGGCCCAGGCCGGCGGGATCGCCCCGGGCGGACGCGGCCCGAACCCGGGGCCCGGCCGCCCGCCGCGCGGAGCTCCCGGGCTGGGGCGCCCGGGGGGGTCGGGGGTGCCGCGGGCGCATGCGGGGCGCGCGCGGGGGCGGCCGCGGCTCTGCGTGCGTGGCGGCGGCCGGGGAGCCCGCCTGGCGGGGTGCACGTGCGCCCCAGCGCGGGGCAGGCGGGGGACCCCGGAAGCCCGCGGGCCGGGCTTGGCGGCGGCCCCGGCTCGTCGCTCGGGGCCCGGGCTCCGCAGTTCCGGCGGGGGGTGAAGGGGGGGCGAGGGTCCCGCGCCCCCTGCTCCCGCGCGGAGACCGCCCCGAGTCGGGGAGTAGCGCCCCGAGGCCCGCAGTCCCGGCCGCGGGGTCTGAGGCGCCCCCTGCGAGGCCTGGGCTGGGCAGCCGTCGCCCGCTTAGCAGGACGCACCCCGAGACCGCCGAGGGGCAGGGAGCGGGACGGGGCGCCCAGCTGTTTGCTGCTGGAGCGGGATGGCGCCCGCCGGAGGCTGCGCCCCGGACCCGCCCGCGCCCGGCCTCCCGCGCCAGCAGCAGACTCCGCGGCCCGGGGGCGCCGTGACCCCGCTCCCGGGGGGCCCAGGGCGCCGTGACCCCGCTCCCGGGGCCTGCCTCTCTCCCGGCCCCTGCTGGCGTCCTCGGTGTGTGCGTGACGGAGGGGCCCGAGGGAGGAGGCACCTCCATTCTGGCTACTGTTTTGGGGGGGTGCGGGCCTCACTTAGGGCTCTCCCTCCTGCTGGCAAGGGGCTCGGGTCACCCCCATCCCTTTCACAGCCCCCTGCTGGCTCCCTGGAGCCTGCCTCTCCCCTGAAGATTCCTGAGCATCCCAGGTGGCGTCCCCTCTGTGGGCGGGTGCGGGAGAAGGGGTGTCTCCAGGAGCCCTCCAGGGTACAGGGCACGCCATGGGCAGAGCCCCGAGAGGACTCCCGGGGCGGCGGATGTCGAGCAGGCCCCGGGGCGCTGGGGGAGGAGACGGGAGCCTACACTCCTCACTCCAGAGCTCCCTGAGGGCGGAGGGCGGCCCAGCACCCTCCAGGCCCGAGTCCTCCTGCAGAACTGCTGTGGAGCTGGGAGGGGGCTCTCCTGGGGTGCAGGTGCCCGGAGGGGGCACTGCTGGGGTGCTGTTGCCCTGAGCCCCTTCCTGTCTCACCGTCCCTCGCTCTAGCCTGGCTGGCTGGGGGTGGGCTGTGCCCCTCAGGCCCCACAGCCGTGCTGGGCTGACTGCGAGGGGCTGGCCTTGGCTTGCTGGTGAAGGAGGGAAACCTGGGGCACCTGGCCCCGGCCTGATCACGCCAAGATTGGGCTGATTCATCCTTTCTAAGCCACCTGAGGGTTTTGGGCAGCTGCTCTGGGAGGCAGAGGCAGGTCAATGCTGCCCTAACAGACTTGCTTCAGATGACCCTGCAGGGGTCTTGGGTGCCTGCTGCCTTGAGGGGAGTCACACTGGACCCCCAACTCTCAGCCCTCGGTCAGTACCAAGTGCTAGTTGTCAGCCAGCTCTGTGGGACTCCTGGGCCCCTGCTCGGGCATCACTGGTGCTCTGCTGCCCCCTTGTGCTGTGGAGTGGCCGGCTGGCGATGTGGGGCGCTCTGACAGTTGGGGCTTTCCTGCTGGCCCACAGCACCACCTACTGGACAGTCCTGGCTCCCCTGCGGGGGCGGGGCTAGGTGGGCCCCAAGAGGCTCGTCCAGAGCCAAGCTCCCAGCCACCCTCCTTGGGGACTGCGCTCTGGAGCCAAGCTCAGCTTCTCTTGCTCGGGCCTGGGGACCTGGTTTCCAGGCTTGGTTCACCATTTTTGACAAGACTGGCAGGTCAGAGAGTGGGACCTGGGGAGTGTCCCCGGAAATCTGAATGTGTGGACAGTGCCCGAGTCTGCCTCTCGGCGGCAGCGGGCAACCTGCGGTCACTCCAGAGCCTGGGGGCCGTAACGTGTAGCTGGAGGTGGGGATGGGTGGGTCTCCACATCTGTACGTCGGGGGCCGGAGGGTGTGAACTAGCCCAGCTAAGCGAGCCTGATTGCCCTGCAGTCTGGGGAAGGGGCGTCGGGAGTCCTGTGGAGGGCAGCAGAGCACAGGGAACGCTGGCGTGCGGGGGCAGGGGCACCAGTGCCCTTGCAGGCAAACTCATTACACGGAGGGCCCTGCAGCTTAAAAGTAAAGCTGGGACTCCGCATGGCATGGCTCACGTTCATTCACTCGTACAGCCTTCACTGAGCACCTACTAAGTGCCAAATTCTTGCGTGTCCGTGCGCCGACAGCATCAGCAGCCTTCTCCTGCTGGCCTGTCACCCCTTCTCACAACTCCTCCCTCTTTCTGTTTTTTCCCCAGGTCAGCAGTTGAGTAACTGGGCCCCAGAGGCCTTGAAGCCTTCATAGTGATGGCAGAGAAGCGGCCGCTGGGCACCCTGGGGCCTGTGATGTATGGCAAGCTGCCCCGTCTGGAGGCAGACTCCAGGCCAGGCCACAGCCTGCCCCCCTCTGCTGGAAACCAGGACCCCTGCAGCTACAAGGGAGCCTACTTCTCCTGTCCCCTGGGAGGCGCTCCTAAGGCAGGGTCTGAGCGATTGGCATCCTGGACCCCATACCCACCCTTGTACCCCACCAGCGTGGCAGGACCCCCACTTCGGGCTGACAACTTATTGACAAGCTGCCTGCTCTACCGCTCACCAGCAGAAAGCGCCGAGAAGGTGCAGGATTCCGGCCCTGTTGAGCTCCTACCCTTCAGTCCCCAGACTCACTCCTTCCCGGGCCCGCCACTGGCGGCCCCCAAACCTGTCTACCGCAACCCTCTGTGTTACGGGCTCTCGACCTGCCTGGGAGAAGGGGCAGCAAAGAGGCCACTGGATGTTGACTGGACACTGGTGACTGGACCCCTGATACCCCCTGCGGATCCACCTTGTTCTCTGACCTCAGCTCCTAGCAAAGGCCAGCCCTTGGATGGCACCTTTTTGCGTGGGGTGCCAGCGGGGGGGTCTGGCAAAGACTCTTCAGTGAGCTTCTCCCCCTGCCAGGCATTTCTGGAGAAGTATCGGGCCATCCACAGCACCAGCTTCTTGACATCCAAGTACACGGGCCCTTACTCTGGGGATCCCAAGCAGGCGCTGTCGGAAGTACCACCCAGTCCTTGGACCCAGCTGGCCCAACCCCTGGGGCCGGGCTGCCAGGATGCAGTGCCCACCCACTACCCGTTGCCCCATCCCACACAGGCCCTCCCTTGCCCCCCAGCCTGTCGCCACCCAGAGAAGCCGGGGAGCTACAGCTCAGTGCTCCCGATGCAGCCTCTGGGAGCCCACAAGGGGCCCGGGTACCCAGCTGGTGGACTGGGCAACCCTTACCTGAGGCAGCAGGCGGCCCAGACACCTTATATGTCCCCAGTGGGGCTGGACACTTATTCCTACCCGTCTGGTCCCCTCCCAGCACCCTCACCAGGCCTCAAGGTGGAGCCACCTCTTGCCCCACGCTGCCCACTGGATTTTGTCCCCCAGACGCTGAGCTTTCCTTACGCTCGGGACGATCTCTCTCTCTATGGAGCATCTCCAGGACTCAGAGGAACACCACCTTCCCAGAGCAGCGTGCAGACGGTGCCACAGCCCAGTGCCTTCCAGCAGCCATGCCAACCTCTGCCTGCCAGCCAGCCTTGCTCAGAACCTGTGAGATCTGCAGAGCTGCCAGTGCAAGAAGCTGAGGAGAAGCTGTGGCTGCCTGAATACAGGAAGGAGCGGCTGCAGCCTCAGCTCAGTGAGCACCCCGGGGCACCCATTGTCATCCGAGACAGTCCAATTCCTTGCACCCCTCCGGCACTCCCACCCTGTGCCCAGGAGCGCCAGCCTCTCCCACATAATGAGGGTGCGCTGCCCCCCAGCTCTCCTCCGATGCCTATCATTGACAACGTCTTCAGCCTGGCCCCCTACCGTGACTACCTGGATGTGCAGGCGCCTGCGGCCACAGCTGAATCTGACCAGGCCCCTGCCAAGAGCCATGACAAGGATTATGGGGGGACCCTGCCTGCTCCGGAGCCCCCGTCGAGGACACACTGCTCACTTAGAGAGGAGGTAGCACTGGACTTGAGCGTCAAGAAGCCTGTGGCAGAGACGCCTCCTCTCAAGGCCCCCAGTCCTGCAGTGCCTGCCAAGCCCACCGCAGCCGTGGATGTGCCGGGCATGGACAGCACCATCCCAGACATGCCAGGCATGGGAAGCACAGTCTCGGACCTGCCGGGCCTGAAGACGATGGTCACAGAAGCGCCGGGGCTCCCCGGGGTGCCAGTGACCACAGAGGCCACCCCAAGGACGAACTTCCACAGCTCCGTGGCCTTCATGTTCCGGAAGTTTAAGATCCTCCGGCCAGCACCCTTGCCTGCGACTGTGGTCCCATCTGTGCCCGCCTCCGCCCCTGCCCCGCCTGTCCCTGCCCCGCCTGTCCCCACCCCCACGTCGGCACCGGTTGGACTACAGGTTCTCACGCAGCCTTTGCCTGTGACTTGCTTCAACCTGGCACTGCCCAGCCCTCCGGCTGTAGCTGTGGCCTCCCCGACCCTGGCCCCCACCGCGGCCCCGGCTCTGGCTCCAGTTGCAGCCCCCGCGAGGGCTCCTACCCCTGCCGTGACGGACTCCCCCGAGCAGCGCTTCACGGGACTGCACGCGTCCCTGTGCGACGCCATCTCGGGCTCGGTGGCCCACTCCCCGCCCGAGAAGCTGCGGGAGTGGCTGGAGATGGCTGGACCTTGGGGGCAGGCGGCGTGGCAGGACTGCCAGGGCGTGCAGGGGCTGCTGGGCAAGCTGCTGTCCCAGCTGCAGAGCTTCGTGTGCACGCAGCAGTGTCCCTTCCCCCACGTGGTGCGGGCCGGCGCCATCTTCGTGCCCATCCACCTGGTGAAGGAGCGACTCTTCCCGCGGCTGCCCCCCGGGTCGGTGGACCACGTGCTGCAGGAGCATCGCGTGGAACTGCGGCCCACCACGCTGTCGGAGGAGCGGGCGCTGCGGGAGCGGGCCCTGCACGGCTGCACCTCCCGCATGCTGAAGCTGCTGGCGCTGCGCCAGCTGCCCGACATCTACCCTGACCTGCTGGGCCTGCAGTGGCGGGACTGTGTGCGCCGCCAGCTGGGTGAGCATGGGGCAGCCCCAGTAGCCACCGGAGCTGTGTGAGCGAGTGACAGGTGTGTGGGCCGAGTGAGTGGTCACAGGCGGGGACGGAGGGGTCTCTGGGCCTCTGGAAAGGGCAAGGAGGCCCTGGTAGGAGACTGGTCTCCCAGTGCGGGCTCCCCGGGGTCCCCTGCCCCCCACATCCCTCTTCCCCTTCCGGCTTCAAAAAGAGACTGCTGCACCTCTGGAAGCCTCGGATCGTGCTAACTGTTCAGCCCCCGTGGAGACCCTGTCCTGGTCCCGAACCTTCCTGATTCCCTTCTCTGCTGGCTCTGCCTTCCCACCTTGGGAGCCGGGCTCTGCCCAGGCCGGGTGTCCTGTCAGAAGTCATTTCTCTCTGTGTGTCTGTCCTGCCAGCCTCCCCTCTTCTGGGCCCAAACCCCAAATAACTCACTGCACGTTGAACCTGAACCTTAACTCCTCCCAAATCATGCTGGAGTTCCCCCCCAGCTCACCTCCACCCCCGGTCTTGCCCATCTCAGTGGATAGCACCCCTGCTACCCCAGCTCCTGCCGGGACCCTGGCAGGGGGCTGCCTCCCCTACATGGTTGCCTTCTCAATGTGCGGTTTTCACATCCCCTTCACGGTACTTCCCTTCACAGAAGTGTACCCCGAGCACTGTTTTGTGGTTTGTTTTTCCTGCACTAAATGAGGTCTTGTGTATATTGTTCTCCCATGTGCTCCTTTTGTGGCCCCGAGCAGCATCTGCGCTGGCCCGGCGCGGCGGTCTCGGGACTGCTGCGGCGTCACGTGGTGTGTCCGTCTCACCTCTGCGCCCGGGCTGCGGTGGCGTCGGTGGCCGCCTCTCCTGTGTCGCGACAGCTGGCCTTGAGGCCCAAGGCCCCCTCTGTGGTTATTTCCCACATGTCCCACTCATGTCCCTGTCATGGTCGTGTCCCTGTAGGAACTGCCCTTTGTCCCTCCTGGCAGCCCTGCCCCGGGCTCCTCCCTAGCCCAGGCTCCAGGCGGAGAAGGGTGATGCGGGCAGATGGGGAGCTTGGGATCTGCGTGGCCTGCTTGCTGACCCCTGGTGGGGCATGTGCCTTCATGGGCTGCAGAATGCACCACGATGCAACTCCAGGACTCTGTTCCTGAGGGAGGAAGGGTGTGAGTAGGCAGCATGCACCTCACACACCCCCAGCCCGGCCCTTCCCCTGAATAGCTGGGCCCAGCGAGATGGGTGTGAGTATGACCCTGGCACTGCGTCGTCAGTCTGCAAGTCTGGGCCTGTTAAGCAAGTGATGGGGGTGCAGCCTCTTGCCGCTGGCAGTTTTGGCGCCCCATCCCTGCTCCCTCTCCGAGTTGTGTGCGCTCTTCCATCTTTGGGGGCCACCCTTCTTGTGGATATCCTTCAGTAGCTCCCCCAGCAGCCTCCTTTCCACGGTGTGCTCTGTGGTTGAGACTGCCCTTCGTCCCTTCTGCTGCTTCCTCCCTTGGGGCCTTGCGTTTAGGGCAGCCCTGCCTGGGCTCTGCTCTTGCTCCCGCCCTGGGGGTGATGTGGCAGGGAGGTGACAGCGTCCTCTGAGGAGCAGGCCCTCTCTAGGCCTCCGTTCCCCCTCATTACAGTGGGCCTTTGTACCAGGCCAGTGGTTCCTGGCCCATTGGGCATCTCTCTTGTCCTTGAGCCCCAACAGCCACTGGGCAGTGCTGTCACCCGATCCCCGGCATCACCTGGGGACAACACGCGCTTTTGGCCATGTGGTCTGGCCAGTGGGCACGTGGGGCACTATTGCTGACCCTGCCGGAGCCATCCTGGCTGTGGGCAGAGTGGAACTCCAGGTCTGGATGGCTTTGGGGCCAGGGGATGGGCCTTGAAGGTGTTGGGGTCTGCAGCCTGAATGTGTGTTCATTTTCCAGGTGACTTTGACAGTGAGGCTGGATCTGTGCCCCCCTCAGAACCCACTATGACCAGAGAAGAGCCAGCTAGCCTAGCCCTGGCTTGGAAGTCACCCGCCTCCAAGGCCAAGAAGCCCGGGAAGAAGCTACCAGTCCCTGGCTCGGAGAAAGCAGAGGTGGTTGCAGGGCGAGGGTCCTGCGATGCCTCGCCTCCCCCTACTGCCAGGTCCAGCCCACCTGGCCCCACCCTGAAGGCCCGCTTCCGCAGCCTGCTCGAGACCGCCTGGCTCAATGGCCTAGCACTACCCACGTGGGGCCACAAGGCGTCAGGAGCAGACCGGCCTGCACCCCGCCCACCGCTGCTGGGGGGCCAGAACCATCACTAGTTGCTGGTGCTGCTTAGGCAGCTACTGTGGGAGTCACTCTTTGCACCCCTCCCTTCTGCCTGCCCAGCTGCCCAGAGCCGTCAGAGGATGTGCCTTTGGAGTTTCCCCCTCTCTCGCCTTGTCCCCCTGCCCAGGCTGAGCTGAGCGCCCTTGAAGTTTGAGTTCGATGGGCCTTCATTAGAAGGGTCCGTTCCTGTCTCTTGGAGGACAGCATGGGCTTCGGAGCCCTAGAGAGTCAGCTTGAATCCTGGGTGCTGTGCTCCTTGTGTAACTGGGCAAGTCAGTTCCTCGCGAGCGCTGTCTCCATTTGTAAAATAGGACAACACAGCCTACCTCACAGGGTTGTCGTGGGGTGACACCTGACACGCCCATTATGGTTTGCATCCTCCCGGGGTGGTCTGGGTCTTACCCGGGGCCTAGAGTTGGGGCTGAGGCCATCACAACCTTGTCTTAGGTACGTTACATGACCCACACTTTGTGGAGTCGCCCCTGGGAAAACCTGGGGCTTATTACCCAAGGATTTGAAATTGGACCCTAACACCCAGCCTGGAGCTCCGTGAGGGAGGCCTGGCCCTCCCTGCTGCAGGGGGTGCATGGGATAGAGTCTGGGGCTGATGTCCTTGGTTGGGGCTTGATGCTCTCACCCCTGGGAGACCCCACACACATCCTGAATTGATAGTGGCTTCACCGCGTTGCCTCCCCGCCTAGTGTACTCCAAGGAAGTTGTGTGCAGGCTGGAAACCAAGCAGCTGCAGGAACTCAGGGACTAGACGGGATGGGCCAAGTAACAGTTGTGTTCTGGGAGGTCCTGAAAGATATGGACTGGGGGCCCATGCTGGAGCCCCCTCAGCCTGGCCTACCACCAGGCACCTCCTGGCAGAGTGCTAAATTGAACCAGAGGCCGGCAAGCTGGGCACTTGTAAGATGCCTGTGAGTCCTGGGAGCAGGCCATCAAACATTAAAGCATTTGGGGTTTTGTGACCTTGGGACTGGCTGTGTTTGGGGGGGGGTGAGGGGTGACAAAGATGCCATCACAAGTGTTAATCCTTTGACCCCAGGCACCCCAGCGCCGAGGCAGGAGAGATAGCCTCTGAGGGTCTGGCAGTTTGTGGACTGTTGCCCACTGCCCAGTGAGAAGTGCTGGTCACCACCTCTCAGCTCCTGCTCCTCAGGCACCAAGGATGTGTCTGCCAGCATCTAGAACAGAACTGACGCCACCCCACAAACGCCTTACCTAGTGTGAGGAGGCCACCAGGCACCCCTCCTGTGCTGGGCTCCTGCCCTGTATGTTGGTTTGCAGGGCTGCTGAGGTGGCTTCCTGGACATGTTTCCCACTGCGTAGGGGCCAGGGCTGGGTGCTCAGCAGGCCCAGATGCACTGCCCTCTGTGCCTCCCGATAGCTGGAGCCTAGCCTGGACTAGCCAGGATTTGTAGTGGCAGCTGCTGACTGGGCCGTGAAGGGGCACAGGCAGCTGGAGCTCCCTGGTCACGGTGAGAACCCTGGGGCACCGACAACCCAGGGAAGGGTGCTGTGGGCACAGCCAGGGCGTCATCTGGCCTGGGGATACTGTTTGGGTCCCTGAAAAGCTTCTGCCTGTGGTGGCCTACAAGACAATAGAAAAGAACAAGCGTGAAGCAAACAGCATGCTGGAGGCCTACAGATGTATGTGGAAAACAGACATGCCCGGGTGTGACCTGAGTGCAGCCAGTGGGGGCAGGAAGTCCCCTCCCCCATAGCTCTTGGACTCAGCCCTGCATCCAGAGGCGCAAGTGCTGAGGTCCAAGTCTTCAGACTCCAGACAGCTGTGCAGGGAGCAGGAGAGGTGGGTGCCACTGGGTGAGCCCTTCTGAACCCCTTGGCCTCCTGTGCCCATCCACCTCACTTCCAGGACCTTGCTAGTTTGGGCTGTTCTTGTATTTCCTTTCCTTTTTCCCTCTCCCTTCCTTGCATACCTGCTGTGTCCCTGCGACCTGCCAGGCAGAAATCTTGCTTGTGGCTCTAGAGCAGGCCTGAGGCATGCAGCTGCTCTGTCTGCTGGCAGCTCTCTGGGATCCTAATGGTACTAGAGTTGGGCCTGATGGGGGAAGTGACTGGTCCCCACAGGACAACCACACTGGAGCCGCAGTCTGAGGACTGCCCTCAACCCCTCAAAGCTCCAGGGAGCGGAGGCCTAGCCCTGCCCGGAGGGTCCCACTAAGAAGACGGTAGAACTGTCTTCCCGGAAGTGCAGCCTGAGGGGGTGGGGGCAGGGACAGCCCTGACCCCGGCCCCTGCTCTGAGTAGGAGTGCTCCCCACCCACGAGGGCGCTGACAAAGCCTCTTCCACTGTTTAGTAAGAGCGACCGAGAGCTGAGACTGAGGAAGGTGGCCTGGAATGGGGAGAGGCCCAGCATGCTGGGCTCCCCTCTCCCCAAAACAGGAGATGGCTCTTCCGGTCCCGCTGGCCCCCTGTCACTGTCCTGAGCTCCATGGCGATGGTGTCCGGCAGAGCCCAGGAATCCGATTTAATCAAGCTCCCAAGGTGATGGAGTAGAGAGTTCAGGAATCACATTTCAATAACAGTGATCACACCCTTGGGGTTATAGATGAGGAAACAGGCTCAGGAACTTAGGGTGATCACATCAAGGCAGACTGGGCAAGACGCACAGCCAGTCTTGAGGGCTCTGGGCCAATCAGGAGGCTCTGCCCCCGCCCTGCTCGCCCTTGCAAGACCTTTGTCTCTTTCCCAGTGTTCAGGTAAGGCTCCAGAGGGACTGGGTCTTCGGCTTGGGGCCCCGTAGTACAGCAACGAGGGGCTCTTGTCAGCCTCTTGGTTGGCTGAGCCCTCAGCCCTTCCTCCTGAAGTATCAGTGAGTAGGCCGCAGACGCTGGAGACCCCTGGGTTCCTTCAACACTTGGCCCTGCTTCTTGAGTTCTTGGCTCCTCCCTGTCAAAGGAGAACCAGGGTAGCCCTGTCCAACCTTCAGTGCCGCCCCAAGCTCACCACCTGCTGGTTCTGAAACACCAGGACCCCAGCTTCCAGAGACCAGGTCTCCCCAAATCCTGCCCACCGCCTTGGCACCTCCAAGTCTGAATGAGGCAAGAGGCAAGGGTCCCCACTACTAAAGGACTGCCTGGTGCTTCACCAACCCAGTAGACATCCCAGGCCCCAATTTCTGGTAGCCCAGACCCCTTCCGGTGGTTGCCAGCTTGGCGCTTTCTTCCGGGCCTGTGCTCCTGTGCCATCAGGAGTTAGCTTAGACCCGGCTTAGACCCCTCTCCTGGTCTCATGGTACTTCTGCCCCCAAGCCCCGGCACCCTGGCCTCCAGCATTCCTCAGGCTGGCTCAGCTGATGCCACACGCTATGCTCTGGACTTGCTTTCATGCAGCCCCGCTGGTAGCCCCACCCCCGCCCCACCTCCCTGATGTAGCCCCTAAATCCCCACCTGCCCTCCCCCAGATGGTCTCTCCCAGGCACGCCTCTGGACCCTGGTGGCTAGATCTCAGGGGTGCACAGCCAAGTCCTTCCCCCTCACCTACTCGGGGCACTTTGTCTTCCAAGACCCCTGAAAGCTGGGGGACCCACACTAAGGCTTTAGACCAGCCCAGACCCACAGTCTCGTCTGATGACTGGCCCTTCCTCAGCGCGCAAACCCGAGCCCCTGGGCAGAGGTGTGGGGAGCCCCAGGAAGTTCCTCTCAAGCAGAGAGGCTAATTGGCCCAGGCCCTTGCTGTCCAGACTGAGTTGGGCTACTGGAGGGTCTCCAAGGCCACCTGGGCACAGGCTGTCGTGAGGAACCTGTGCTCGCACCATCTGCCATGCCCTTGTCAGGCACCGTCACCCTGGAGACCAGCTCTCCTCCCACCCCACTGCTGGGATCCCCAGCATGGCTCACCCATGTGTGCCTCACCTCACCTGTGTGCCACTCCCAAAGAATCCAGGCTCGCTCAGCTTCCAGAGGCTCAGCCCGGGGTCATACTCCCAGCCCCAGGTCATACGTGAGGGAGGATGAGGAGACCGGGAGCTCCCAAGATACAGGCTGGCGGGGAGAAGCCCGGCTTGAGGGAGGTGGAAGAGGGCCTGAGGCAGAATGCCTGGAGCTTCCTCTCTGCTTTTCTTCCGTTCTCCTTTGCTATCAAAGAAAGCAGTTTGTGCTCGTGTCCCGCCCTGTCCCGCGAGCGTGCAGCACTGCTCAGTGTTGACTGTGGCCGCCGACCTCCGTGAGCCTGCTGGCTCCGCTTTGCCCTGTGATCCATGGAGAAGCAGTTGTCCCGCCTTCCTCAACAAGGACCAACTGAAGCAGAGAAGTGGGCAGTTCACCCACCGCCCTGCTCCTGGCCTGGTGGTCCTGCCAAGGGGATGCTAAGCGTGGAGGCTTCCCTTTCCCCAGAGTCTTCTCTCCCCAGTTGAGGCGCACACTGTCCTTGCCCAGCTTCCTAAAATCCATGGCGTCTGCTCCTAGTAAGTCTTCTCAGCTCCACGGAATTGGTGGGGCTGCCAGGCCTAGAGTTGGGGCCCTGCCCAGCCTTGTCCCTGCTGCCTCTCATGCCCCTGCAGGTGAGGGAGGGGCCTCCATTGCTAAGTCTTCTCCGCACCAGCTCCCGGCTGCCAGCAGTGTTCTGGGGCGGGGCCAGGTGGAGGTCCGATGGCAGATTCTGCCCACCAGCTCTGACCTCCTGTACCCCGTGGCGGCCAACGCAAGCCAGCCTCTCCTGGCTTGTGGGCCTGGCCTCGCTCAGCCTGGTGGTTAGTGGGAGGAGGCCTCAGATTTCTAGAACATGTCCAGCACCACACCTTTGCTATCCTGGCTTCTCTGGAAGACCCTGTGGGAGCCCCTTTAGCTGCTTCCCTAGCCCAAGAATCTTTCAGTAGGTTTGCCCCTTATTTTAGAGCTTCTGGTGGGGTTTCATGTAAGGGTTGAACCTATAGGGTTGGGGTATAGGAGATGGCATCTGACTAGGACATAGAAAGCTGTAATTCCCCCCAGAACAAGGCCCTCATCTGCCCAGCTTCATCTTCAAGGACAGCCCAGAGCCCTGCTTCTTTGGGAATTATGGAGGCCCGTGCTGATCTAAATTGATTTCTAAGGCAGTATCGACAGGTTCATGGGACAGAGGAGGGAAGACTGAGGCTTAGCATGGGGTGACCCAGGTCAGAGCCATAAAACCATGACCAAGCAGAGCCTAGTCTTGGCCCAGGGTGCCCTGAGGACCCTGTTCAAACTTCTTCCCAGCGCACTTGTGTTTCCGGCCAGTCCTGGTGATAGTCGCCAGGAACTGCCGGTGCTGGCGGCGGCACCGACCAACTAGCCTGTGGTCTTGATCTCCCCACCGTGCCTCATGACATGTCTGGTTTGGGCCTGGTA